GATGGTGAGGGGAAGATATGGTCACGCATGGGGATGACGACGGTGATGGGGCGGTGGTGTGGCTGACGACTGTGATGAGGGCGGCTGCGGGACTATCAATGGTGGTGTTGGGACTGGGGAAGGTGAGTGCTCGCAAGGTTGGGACTTTGGCAGTAGGGGCATTTCTGACCATTTACTTCCTTAGTCAACTCATCAAAAAAATGGGAAAAAGTCAATTGGGGAATATTAATACCGGACAGTGGGAGTATTAATTCTCTCTCGTATGTATCATTTTCAATCATACAATAATTTTTAATTCTGCATTAACTATATGTACCAAGTCTTTTATGATATTTTTTGTGTTACGAAGTGAGAATAATTTGAACTAAGAGATAAAACTAGAGAGTGGGAGTGCATGAAACTAAGTCAACGGACTCTTTAATTGTCTAAAGTAAACAAGTCAATGGAGACAAACTCATATAGTTCCCAATCAAAAAGTTGTTTTTTATTCTCTTCTTCCCCTTTTTCGTAATGTTAATTGGTAATTAAGAATCATCACATGTTTAGGGTTATGGGCACATTAGAAGAGAACAAATGGATGTTTAGTCCCCAGGTTTGAAATGAATGTATGAATGTGCCATTTAATTGGGTTGACAAATTAATTAATGAGATGTAAATAACATTTCAATTACATTCCAACATAATCTTAATCTAGTCCTTAAAAAAACGTCTCGTGATTGATGTGCATATCACGGTGAATGAAACTCTCACTCTTAGCTTCTAGGATTCGATCTTGAGACATCGGATTTTAACATCCTCTCCTCTGAGAACCATCAAAGCCATTTAATTGGGTTGACAAAGGCTTTGTTTGGGAACAACGTTTTCAATTAGCGTTTTGAATAAAATTTTAATGGTGTAGATTAATTCAGAAAACACTAACGCTAAAAGCTACCGTCGAATAGCCTTTTCAAAATGCTAACGTTAATCTCCATCGATGATGCCAAACGGGATTAAAGTAATTAACTCCGTGATTGTATGAATGCGCCATTTAATTAATTGGATTAATTACCACGTTGAATGAAACTCTCACTATTAGCTAGCTAGCTTCTAGGATTCGGATCTAACGTCCTCTCCGAGAACCATCAAAGCAACATGTATGGACCCACTTGAAGTATGAATAAAATTAAGGCGCGGGCACCGTTGGGGATTCCTCCAAGTCCCACACCGAAGGGGAAGAAAAAAATGGAACAAAATATATAGGTTCACCCAACCCCATTAGTATGAGGTCTTTTGGGAAGTGCCCAAAAACAAATCCGTGAGGGCTTAGCCCAGAGCGGACAATATCATACTAATGCGGGGTTGGGGGAGGGCACGCGCAGTCCAAACAGGCACGATGGGTAAGATTGATTTTGTAAAAAAAAAAAAACCATTTTATGCTTAAGCATGGCTCGAACAGTAATGCGAGAGGATGTAAAAACTCACTCAAACGGAGGAGAAGAACTTCTCCTGAAATAGTTTGCCGCCCGCATTTGAAAGGAGGAGTAGATGCATGGAGAACTCCTTCTCCGCACCAAATTCAAGACAAAAGAGGAGAAGAAGTCCTCCGCCCGTGGACTAATATTTTGGAGTACTTTGGCCAAATCATTGGAATGGCTGCCGCATGGCAACTTCAACTTTTTTTTTTTCTAGCTGGAATTACTCCGTATGTGTTAAAATGTTCAAAAACATGCTTTTTGTTTAAGATTAAGTAAGATTTATCAAATAAATTTCAACCATACACTTCTTCAATTATTAAAAATAAATTAATTTAATTTAATTTAATTTTTTTTTGAAAAAGTATGACATCAATTTATTAATTAACAAAATATAAATTTATTTTCTTTCAAGTTTTCAAAAATTAATTTTTTATTTTTTTATGATAGTTTGAACTTTGAAGTTTGATATATGAATGTATGATTAGTATTTAGTAATATATAATAATTTATACATTAAAGAATCAAAGATTTTTCGTCAATAAAAAATTAATTAGGATTGCAAGTGATAAGTATTATTGAATTAATGTTCATTTTATGTCTAATTTATAACATTTAAATTGCAAAAGTACTTCAAAAAGCTAGCCAAATTCAAATATTCGGAGTCGAGTGGAATTGGTAACAATGTTAGTGCTCCGGTGTCTCAAGTAAATACTCTATCTTTAGTTATTCAAGAAAATACTCAATCCACTCTTGTTTAATTTATTATTAAATTTTATTCCGTAGTTTGACATGAGAATGAGAGGTAGTCGGGTAGGGGATCCCATGGCCGTAAAATCCTAGATCCGCGCCTCTGATTGTATATTTTGCACCGTGTTTGCTAGACGTTACACACGGTTACACCGTCTATATTCTCACAGCATATTTTGTAACAAGAGTGGTGTGTGTTGGCCGGGATAGTACCCTCGATCTTGACCGTTCATTTGGCATCAGAGGATAAAGCCAACAACTTCACAAACACATTTTCATCATCATGCTTTTGATTAATTCAAAAGAGTCTGGTAAAAGTTACTCCATCCCTTCCACGTCCACCATTCATTTATTCCTTTTTTTCAATCATCAATTCCCTTGGCTGTAAAATACTTGTCGGCATATTCTTTCATTCTCATTTCCACCCCCAAAATGACAACCATCACTCTCCTCCTCTCTCAAGTGAAAAATCTAGCCCTAAAACATTACCATAATTTGTTTTTTTTTTGTTAAACTCTCACACCCCAGATATATTAAATTATAAAAAAATATATTTAGTTATAATAACACACTTTGTTGCCATAATTATATTGTACTCGGTATAATATAATTACTTCTAGTGCACTTGACATGAATAAAACTCTATTCCCCCCTGTTTATGAGATGAGTCAGTGGGCATTGAGACCAAAGTTGAGTTTTCTTTCTCTCTCATCCTTTCACTCTCCTTTTCTTTCTAAAGAATTACTCACTCCATCCCAAAAAGGATTTCCTACTTTGGTTAATGTGCAAAATCCTGTGGATTTTAAAATAATTTTATTTGCAAATTGGTAAGGAAATAACACATAAAAAAATTATATTTAAAAACTACATCAAAAAATTTACAAAATAAGAGGTGACAAGAATATTTTATTTTATCAAATGATCAATGAAAACACGCAAACAAATAAGAAATATCGAGAGACCGTACAAGAAAGACTTTTTGGGACGGAGAGAATATATTCTGATTTTCCCCTCCCCTAGGGAATTTAAAACACTTTCAGCGGCTCTTCCTCTTGAAATGTCAGCCTTCTTCATCTCTCTTCATGTCTGATCTTCTTCTCTCTCTCTCTTTTTTTTAAAAAAAAGTTTTCCTGGTCGGGAGGAAAAACAAATCCTGACTTTTTCGTCCATACTTTTTCCCCTTTTTAATTTTGAAGCTTCTTTTTGTCCTTCTCCTCTTTAATTCCCAACTTCCACTTTCCTCCCCCCTTTACACCATCTGCTTTTTTAATTCTCTTCTCACCAGA